CCCGTGCACTCCATTAAACTCTATGCTTTTACAATATCCACATCAAATTCAGTCATTCACGAAATTCTATATCCTCTAGTGCCAATGTAGAACTCAGATTTCAAAAGTGCCAAAACATTGTGTAGAAAAATAATTATATAAGCGATATCACAAACTATAATAAATTATAGAATGTTGCTGGTTTAAAATTTTACTCTAGAGACTTACAAAGAGGAAGTGGGTCCCCACACAAACTTATAATAGCTATTGAATAAACCCGATTTAAGTCTCACCAGTCTTCTAGTAAACTCGTTCATAACTTGTAATTGCAATACACACGAAATATCTAAGGATTTTTCAGTGTAAAATCTTCGAGGATTAAGTCAGTCTTCTATTTATATGTGATGTAAAAAATATTACAGAACAGAAAAAAAAGTAATAAAAAAAAAACTCGTAATATTCATCCCTCATTCTCTCTCTTTTTTTACATTATTTGGTTTTCTTGTTCGTTGAGACTTTGATAATAGAAGACAACCTCTTATATATTTGGAGATTTCTTGCTATCTGAGTAGATACATAATTGATCATGAGATCTCATCATATTTCAAATCGAGCATTCTTCCTCGTGAATCCCTATTTCCTAACTTAGCTAAACTTAGGTTACTTCTCTTCTTTTAGTTTGACTCCTCAATTTAGGTCGACATAACTACGTCTCTAAGCCAGGTCGTAACAACTTGACCTCCTCACAACCTAATTAACCTCTTCATTTGACCTCCACTTGAGCCCAACTTACTGCTTTACATTAGTTCGCGATAAAAGTCAAAGTCATCATACCATATCACAACCCACCATTACCATTCGCCTTGAAAATCGCAGACATAATGAACATCTTATTAGTTAGTACTAGTACGTACCTTGTACGATGCACGGACATATACATTAAATGAATTATTTTAACAGGCTCTATCCGTTTAAATCTAAAAAGCAAAAAGGTTATCATCTATTTTTCACCTCTTTTAATCAAACTTTTTTAGCCAAAACGTTAAATATGAACATGTTAGGGTTACCTTGTAAAATAATTAATATATTATCTCACTAATACATTATGCTAATATAAATTTGATTTTAGTTTATATATTTATTCCTTCATATAAGATAAACTAGCAGTTTCACTTATTCTTGTTCACCATATAATACTTAATTATTATTTTATTATAAACTTTGTTGTCATATAATGTTATTATTATTTATAAAAGTTATAGAAGTTATATGTCTTTTTTTTATTTTATATAATGAAAAATATTTAAGTATTATTTATTTATGTAATTAATTTAAAATATGTAAACAAATTTAAATATAAATGGTGTATGAATATTTTACAAAATATGCGTACATGCTTTTTTTTAGGATTTAATTTTGTATACAAATTAAGCAACTTTGATTTAACAAATGCCAAAAACTAAATTCCTTTTATAATCAAGATTTTTCTAATTTGCATTATAAGGATTTATAGTTTACTTAGCATATTCTGCAATGAAAATATATTTTTAAAGAATTTCATTATAGAAAGAAATTAAAATATAAAAAATGATAAAACAAAAAAAATAATCATGGTTGCCAATAATATACAAATAAATTCTAAAGAACAGTTAATATATTTTAATTTTAATTTTTGACTATTAGTAAAACTATTGAACATATCTGGTCATTATCTCTTAAATGGTAAATTATATTAATTTGAATAATAATTTTTTTTCTATATATAACGAAATAAAGCTTAAAAAAATTATATTGGCAAAGACTAATTCACCAACTTGATTTCGCCTGACTAGTTAGAAGAAAAAATTATACCTAACATGTTACGATTAAATATTTTTGGATAAAAAGTGAATATCTGTGAAAAAAATTTAATATTATGGTTAGAACTTAAAATATGTTGTAATATTTATTTTGACCAAAATATCATCAACATTAATCACGAAAAATTAATCTTGTAATTTATCATAATGGATATCAATGAAATTATTGCATATATTAATAAAATTATTTAAGAAAACAATACTTTTTGTCATATTCGATTTGATCTTATTTGACAACGTGTATATAGAAGCAATTAATGAATATATTAAAAAGTTTCCAAAAAAAAATTTATGCATTAAATGCTCCTAAAATTTTTACTATTATTTTTAGTAAATAGTTATTCTTATTATATGTATATAGATTACCCAGTTCATACAAGACATCAATATGCATATTAGTACCAGAAAAAATAAAGTATAAAATCATTGGTCTTGTGTATTTTGTCTCGGGTCTTCATCTCGTTAATAGGGACTTTTATGCGATTTTATAATTTTTATCTTAACCCGACTCTTTAAGTCTCAAACATGATTTCTTAATATTGATAAATAATTTGAGATCGAGTCCGTTTATCTTATTGTTTAGTAATTGAGTCCGAGCTCGTCTTGGTTGGTATAAACCTCTGAGTATAATTTAGAATATATTTGGTAAAACTAACTGATAGTCGATAGCTTATAAGTGAATTTCGAGTTATAGTTGATCACTTATGGTTGAAAATCTAGCAGATGTGATTAAATGTGTGGTAAAATTTGTTGATACGCCAGTTGGAATAAAAATTTTAATATGCTTATTTGAAAAACTACTTAAAGAAGATTATTAGATAAACTCGAGTTTTTTAAAAAGTTCGTCCACTACAAGAATGTGATGGAATTCCAATGAAAAATTGTAACGAAAATATATTCCAATGGAATTCCAACGATAATTCCAATGCTATTATTTCCATTGGAATGTTCCAATGGATTCCAAGGAAATTCCAACAAAAATATTTCATTAGCTATTGGAATTTTCGTTGGATTTTGATGATTCCAACGGTTGGAATATGAGTGAAAATAAAAATACCACAGAAATTGTATATTCCAACATAAATTCCTACGATAAAAAATCGTTGGAATGATCAAATTCCATCTAAATTCCAATGAAAAACTCATTCCAATGGAATAATTTCGTTGGAATTTTTGTTGGAATCATTCCAATAGAAGCTATACCATTGGAATGTCCGTTGGAATTTCCATTGGAATATATTACCGTAGCATTTTCCGTTGGAATATGACATTTTTTTAGTAGTTGCCATAGCAAACCAAACTTATTTGAAATTTTTCAATGTGTTCCAACGAAAATTTCAATAAAAATATTCCGTTGGAATGAGTTTTCCATTGGAATTTCCGTTGGATTTTAAGGATTACAACAATAGATTTTCTAACTGTTGAAATATAGTTTAAAGTAAAACTTCCAACGAGAATTGCATATTCCCACGTTAAAAAGTCATTAAAAAAAATAGTCATTAGAATCATCAAATTTCATCTAAAATTCTAATCTAAAAGCAATCCAACAGAATATTATCGGTGGAATGATTCCAACTAAAACTATACCATTAAAATATCTATTGGAATTTACATTAAAATATATTACAGCAAAATTTTTCGTTGGAATATGACAATTTTTTTTATGCTCAACTACATATGTTTTGTATAATAATGAGAAACTAATTACATATAAAAAAAGGAAAAGCAAAAACAAAAATCAAGTACGAATGAGAATATCATTAAGTCATAGAGAACACGTGGAATATGATGAGGTTTTTGTACAGTACTTAAATGGAAGTCGTCAATCTGGTAATATCCTGTCTTTGTTCATTGTCCTTTATTTACTTTTCCTGTCGCATTGTCAACAAACTTTCTCGCCATTTGCTCACTGACGTCACCAATTCATGGTACAAACGACTCCATT